ACTTGTTTAATCAGCTACCATCTCTCCTATGGACTTTTTACTGTCTACAGTCTCAGATCAACACAGCCCTGCCCTCCAGCACTATCCACAGCAACCCCTCAACAGCAACATTGTACCCATCAGGTAAAACATCAGCTACGTTTGCTTTGCCTTGTTGCCCATATTAGATTCTTGGTGAATGTGTGTTGTTGTTATTCACCCTGTTTCAATGTGCCCCTTTTTAACTTTGAGCACCCGCCCCTTTAAACCTCTCTGCACGGCCCTGTTCTCCAGACCAATCTCCAGAAGGCTGCAAAGTGCAGTTGAGCTTAATGGTTACCTTGCTTGTGCCACAGACACCATGGAGCTGCTGCACTCCTTTTCAGCCATCAAAAACCTCTCTCTTAAACTGAACACAGCTCTGCCTGCTTCTGCTGCGTGTGAACGACTTTTTAGCTGTGCTGGTCTACTCTTCACAGCCAAACAAAGTCGGATTGCCTCTGTTAATTTAGAAAACCAGCTCTTGCTGAAACTGAACAAAAGGTTCAGAAAGTAAAGTGTGACAGAAATGCTAAGAGTTTAAGACACTTACCTGCCTGTTGTTCAGTGTATGGGGAAAAGTTTAAACGGTTCTACGCATGTTCAGAAACATTTTTGTCATTGTTTTAACAAACAAAATTCCTTCTTTTATATCTACATTTATTTACAAAAGTTACCTTTCTATACCATGTTCATCTGAGAAATGTGCTTTGAACATAAATATTTATACTGGTGAATCGAGTTGAATGCCTGCTATTGACGGCATTAAAAAAAAGTAATTAACACTGAGTAGTTTTTGAGAAGAGTACTTTGTACTTTTACTCAAGTATTTTTTAACACCAGTACTTTTACTTGTAATTGAGTACAATTTAACCAGTGTAACAGTACTTGCACTTGAGTACAAATTTTGAGTACTCTTCCCACCTCTGAGTAATAGTCTTTGGTGCCAAAGGAAAACGATTACAGGTCACCAGAGAACTTCAATCAATACACCTAAAAACCACAAACCAGGCAAGAAATTTGGGTGTAGTAATGGATGCAGACCTAAACTTAGAAAAACACATTAAGACAATAACAAAATCAGCTTACTATCACCTCAAGAATATATCAACGATAAAAGATCTGATGTCTCAACAGGACCTGGAAAAACTAGTCCATGCATTCATCTTTAGTAGGCTTGATTACTGTAACAGCATCTTTACAGGTCGACCTAAAAAATCAGTCAGACAACTACAGCTCATTCAGAACTCTGCTGCTCGAGTCCTCACTAAGACCAAAAAAGTGGACCACAGAGAATGTGCATCTTCTTTTTGTTTTGCATATTTTAATTTATATTTAATTGTGTTGTGGTTTGCAGTGTTTTGTGTTGTTTCACTTTAAATTTGTTTAAAAGGAAAAAGCTGAAAATTTAAATAGTTAAAAGTTGAAATGTAAATAGTTGTTTTTTGTATTTAAAATTAGCTATGTAACAATTTCCTGACTGGCCGATGGCAATGACTTTGTTTCTTGGGTGTTTCTCTTAAGCAGCATCAGCACACAACAAGACAAACTGACCAGTAGCAAAGCCACAGAATGAGCCAGAGATATTTGAACTCATCCACCTTGGATAGAAACCACTCCAAACTGGGAGTCAGTACTCCACCCCCCTTTTTGTTAAGAACCATCACATTAGACTCAGAAATATTCATTTTCATCCCCTTTCTTCACACTCAGAACTTCCCCAGTGTGAGCAGGATGTCAGTAAAGCCAGAAGGACCACATCATCCATTAAAAGCATGTAATAATGAGGTCATCAAATTTAGAAACACTCGTCCATGTTGGGCAGTGGATTCATAACTTTAACGGACAGAATGTCGCAGCATAAATAAAAGTGAAGAATGACATAATTTGTCTACATTTTTTTAAGCATCATGTTCCAGTTTTAAAAAATCAGCTTTGATGTTCATTTCTGAACAATAGGAATGCAGGGCTTTTTGTCTTTACACAAGAAATGCCTTTCAAAACCTCTGCATAGCAGCATTAACCCAAAGGAAAGTAAATAATCTCGGCACTAACGGTAAGTGAATTTTGAAGTAGTTATAACTGTATAACTTCCTCAGCAACCAATAGCAGCATAACTTTCAATTCAATTCAGTTTTATTTATATAGTGCCAAATTGCAACAACAGTCACCTCAAGGTGCTTTATATATCTACAATAATACAGAGAAACCACAACTGTCCAATGACGAAATGTAATATCTTACATAAAGCTGCAGTGATCACACGTGGCCAAGTTAGATAGCTAGCAGTTTTACCTGCCCAGATATCTTGTGACACTAGAGAAAACGTTTCTCATGGCTTATATTTCCTTTTAAAATTATATAATGTTGCAAGCTTGTTGTCTAATGCCATAAGGACATAGAGTCAAATTCTGACAGTGCTGCACATCAGAAAACTTAAAGAGATTGCATGTGACATTACTATAATAATACTCTGAACACATTCATTACCTGCCTAGAAGGTCACACAACTGAGGACCGTTGGGTTACACAATTATTTTGTGCTGACTGGAAGCTTTAACCTGTTTTTCCAGAAATATGCAGGTCTGTGCATGAAGAGCATAACGTTTTAAGAATATTTGTTCTCGACCGCTTACAGTAGGAACCATTATATTCCAATGACAAAGAGACAGCATGGAGCAGACCACAGTGAGGCTAATGAAATGAAAAATGCTAATTTTACACTTTAATGAACACATTGAATATAGAATAAAGTAAAGCAAGAATTAAGTAAAGCAAGTATATAAGAATCATATCTCACTTAAATATTTGCAACTGAACATCTCTATGTCTGAAACGCAGAGAGAGCAACTTATACAAGAAAGACAACCTGTAAAGCTGTTAGGAACCGGCAACTGCTGTCTTTAATGAGGGTGGGAGTCACTGTAATTTCATTTTGCACATGATTCATGTTTCCCTGCCCACACACCATAATCCTCACTGTTAATGGTGCGGTTGCACAGACATGTCATTAGGATTGCATTACTGCAGCTCTGCATACATGAGGAGGGAAGAGTGAGACAGAGAGAGTGGCGCTGACAAGATTTGTTTCTCACTTCTATGAGAAAAAGTAGTTTCGTTTTACTAATGGGAGAACTGACTCAGAATTACAGACGCCTGCACTGAACAGTCAAGTGTAATAAGTGTAGAA